TTTTTTTTTTTTTTAGAAATGAATGAATGAAGTTTCTCATACAGTTTCATTTATTGGTTCATTAACGGTGTATGACGTTACGACCGTTTGATTTTTTTTTTAATATATAAATGAATTAGAATCACCTTGTCAGAATCCTATAATTCTTACCTTTTATCAGTTATTCCTTTTCATCATTCGGTGATTTTCTATTGACAAAATAATATTTAAAATTCAAAAATATAAACATAATAATAATAAAAATGTCAAGCTTTACCTATTCTTTAGAAAAATCCACCCTCCTCTACCTTGTGAACGAAATTAAAATAAATATTTTTAAATATGTCGATACGCCGTTAAACTTGTCACTAACCTGCAAGACATGGAATAACATTGCAAAAGATCCCTACGCCAAAACCGAGTGGTTATTACATCGTTTCGGAAAGACACATGCACTATTCCACGGAATTAGGTTGGGCCCAACTTTCATAAACGAGAACGTTTGTCAAACATTACTATCAAGAAATGTCATATTTTCAAGATATCTGGTTCAAAGAGTATTAACGCATTACGGAAGACAAGATCCAGCATTGACCGAAATGAAACTCAAATACAACGTAATACCAGCCGAAACAAACAAATTACGCTTGGATCAAAACAAATTAAGTAATCCATGGGCAAGCGATTTGCCCTTTAGCGTGTTTAGCATCATCTTGCAAGAAGGTGAAGCTAGATTTTCCAAAATACCGGTTAAGGGGAACGACATGGAATTATTCCATTTTATCTCAGCGGGCACACTTATAATACATTATGCATCCCAAGAGCTGAAAAATAATTTCGATACCATAAAAAATTTGATCACAAAGTATCATTTCGTCCCATTTCCCCCAAGGCCGAGAAAACTTCAATTAAGTTACGACATTGACCCTCACAACAATTTGATGGTTCCGGAAGAATATCCACCGAAAGATGGCTTTGAAAATAATAGACAGCTCAACGTAGTTGCGAGAGCCATATTGCTTGACGCAAGATTGGTTGAATTATGGAAGGAGATCGGGTACACCGAGATATGTAGTGACACCAATAATCTTGTCATATCGGGAGCATTACTAATCCTATTTCCTCCATCCCCACCATCTGGATGGCTTTGCCCCACTGCCGACGATGTAAAGCTCCGCCTTACCAAGCTTATCGAACTAGGGTTTAAGCTCGACGATAAATCCATAGTAGACGCCTTACAGATGTACGAAAATAAGTTGGATATTTACGGCGATATCCTTTGGAATGCTTTCACCACAATTCGAAGCGGTGAACCAAATCTTTCATTTCTTTCCGATCTTTTTAAAGAGGCTTTTGAGCCATCAAGGGCTCTCAAAAAAACATTGTTTTTAAATTTCCTAAAATCAAAGTGCGAATGTCACGAGCAAATCGTAAGACAAATTGTGGTACAAAAATTTAAAGAGGAATATGTTGAAGATATAGACTTTGAAATAAGAAGGAAATCCCTCATATTATCACCAAAAGTTTATCAATTTATAATTGAAGCTTATGGGCATGGATCAGAGATAGCATCGATATGCTTCGTTGATCTCCTTTCCTTAAAGATGTATGTCGATAACCCGCTTCATACATCACTAATATCAAATTTCACGTTAAATACAATCAATTCGACCTTC